ACGTAGGCAAACGATGCCGGATCATCGTTTTTTGGCCAATGCCCAGCAATGATTGATCGTAAACCAAAGTTAAAGCATCCATCATGCCAGCACTGCTTCAGCCATGTGCGACAGAATCTCGGAACAACGTTAAGAAATCGCAGTACGTTTCGCTGATAATGACAAAGATACGCTTTGTTAAAAGTTGCAATTGGCACCTGGTTCGTAAGTGAAGCGTTGGAACTGTGCTTTCGTACATTCGCAGCCATGTTTAAGGTGCATCTGTCATGTTACGACGGTAGCAACTTTATGGAAGATGAGGAATGTCTCTTTAAGATACCATGTAAACAGAGTGCTACATAGCAACTTCTTAGTGGCCATAGTGCTACCTCGAATAGTCATCTGCCCTCATAGTAATTATGACCGCCATCGGGTGCCATTTGCATATCACATTCAGCACCTTCTGTATGGTACACCGCAAGATGGAAATAATTTCGAAGCCTCATAAATTTTTTATGAGCACAGGTTCTTTTTCGGAGCCTAGAAGTCAAACATACTATCATATGAAAGGCGGTAGGTCACCACCGAAATGTAGGATAACATTTCAGGGCAAATCATGACCATGGTGTTTTCTGCCAAACCAAAAATGTGAAGAAAGAAACTATTTTTAATAAACCATCGAAATGTGATTAACTAGATAACTGCACTCAGGGGATAGCAGATCTATTATGCCCTTAGGGCAAGGGGCAAAGGATTCTAAAAGCGAGATCACCTCAGCTACTAAGGTACACTCAGAAGACTCAAACATTTTTCTCAGTCATTATTTTACGCATCTTGAAGGTCCTGAATTCTGGAATTATCTTTTGGTGTCTTCAAATTGTTCTTACTCTTCTTCCTAGAGATGATATGTCTGATACGTGTATGGCTATGTGATTGGTGATATTTTGATGCGATTTACCCACAAATTGCATATCGCTATACAAAAGAAAAAACGTTAAGATTTAAGCCTAGCTAAGAAGGCACTAACTCTAAATGAACCGTTCATTCTCAGCTATCGTTGTAACTACTTATGCTCTTTGTGTTACTACTGCAACTTCAAAACACATCAATTTCGTAAGACTATGTACCATTTTTGTAAAACCTTGAATTATTCGACGACTTTGACCAATTTGCGATTTATACCATGTCATTGATTATGTAGCGAACAAATATTTCCTTTATACAACGAATCTGTTTTGAATACTCGTCCATATATAATTTATAGATATTTACTTCACGTACTGCTTCCTATGCATAAAGCAACAATTTCATATTGGAGGAGACGAAAATGATGAAGCTCAGGGACGAAAGATCTTAATGCATATTCTATCTAATACATGCCCATTGACCATCTGCTAAAGTCTGTCAGGCCTTCGATCTGAAAACGCAGCATCACCTTATGCTTGCAAGCAAAACATGCTGCAAAGAAAATGCCTTAGCTCAAATCCGGCTGGAAGTATTGAATACAGTAATCAGTGATTGCCCTACAATAAGGTACGGTGTCTTCCTTTCGCATTTCTCTGAATCAAGAACGTATGATTCAGTGTTAGACTGAAATTTCTACACCATTGCCACATCAATAGCACTGATCCAATTTTTTGAGGCTCACATATAAGGGAAACCCCGTTTAATGCACATGATAACTGGTTAACTCCAACCTTTGCCTTCTTTAGAAAATCTTCAGATCATTAATTAATTCAGCGGATCTTCAGGTTTCACAGACGTCGAGAACATCTGCCATGATCTTCTTCGGCTCAGTGATGCAGATGTCGACGAGCGCACCTGACGATCGAGTTCCGGTGTTGAGGCCTGCCACGAAAACCTTCATGATATCCTTTGTCGTTTGCAATTCCTACCCTGATCATCATCAGATCGTAAATGATCCTAGTTTTGGCAAGCTGACGCTGCAGCCTTCACTTGCTACCCGGTGTTCTTCTATGCGTAATGTATTTTTTGGCGAGTTACGTAGGCAGTTAATTCAGAGCGCTAACCTTGACTAACTATAGCCGGCATCCTCCAAATTCTTCAACCAGCCGGCCGAGATTCAGAAGAGCGCTTGGTCACATCTCATCTCAGCGGAAATAGCCCTCTGCGGCATGATTAATTAATTAATTAATTCAATTATTATTAATCACTAATTAATTCATAATTCAACCTCACCATTCTATTGACTTATTGTTAAAGATGAATAAGGCACAGGAAACGACGATGAT